CTCCATTATCCGTCATGCGTTTCATTGTGTTTTTTTTTCTTTAAAACCTCAAGCGAATCTGTTTATTTTTCAGGAACATGAATGATGTAAATGTGTTTTTACATCATAATGGAGTATGAATCGACAATGAATACGTGAACTATGATGTCAGAGGTATTTTGATTAGTTCATCATGTAACTACAATCAGCTCCGAGATATTGTTTTTGATAAACTGAAGGTAAACGCGTATTCAAATGATCTGGTGATGAAGTATCAAGTGAAAGATGGATATCCAGCTATGAGTGTGGATGATGATAGCAGCCTACATTTCTATATTTCATTGAAATCGAAGGAGTGTGATTACACAAAGTTGCCCTTGTGTGTGGTTTTAAAAAAAATAATAAACGTCACTTCACCCGGTCGAGGCATAATGCCAATATCTACATATCCGTCTGTGTGTGATATAAAAGGGTTAAAATGTCTTGAACTGGTGCTTGGGCAAACTGAAAGAGACGAATTTTATAGAGCATTTGCCGAACATGCTGCAGATGCAATGCTGGAAACAGTTAAGCATACGGAAGATAAACATGAGATAAACAACTTCAGAACACTTGAATGTGGTGTCGATGGAAGTATGATTTGGGATGTTGTGGTCGGCCAATCTTTCAGAGATAAAAATGAAGTGATGAAGTTGCTCAGCCACCATGCAATAACAAACCAATACCAGTTCAAAGTGGAGAAGTCTTGTCCGAAGCAGTACTACGTCAAGTGCATATGTACATGCAAATGGTATGTTAAAGCGTCAAGGGTAGGAAATTTCAACATTTTCAAGATTCGGGATGTGGGGCGCGACCATTCATGTCCATTTGAGATACGTACAAGTGGTCAACAACAAGCTACGTCCACATTGTAAGTGGGTTTATTCGATCGAGATTCACAAATTTGAAGACAACTTATGTTCCAGGGGACATAATACAACATGCAAGTTCAGCATGTAATAAGTTGTCTTACCAGAAGGCATGGAGGTCAAAGAGAAAAGCTATGGAAGAAGTGCGAGGTAATCCAGACATGTCTTATGGTAAAATAAACGAGTACTTACAAAAAGTTTGTGAATCGAATCAAAATAGTGTTGTGAAATTGTCTGCCACATCGGACCAACACTTCATGTACGTATTCATGTGTCTTAATGCTTCAATTAAAGGTTGGAATCATTGTAGACCTATTATTGTTGTCGATGGGACTTTCCTTAGTTCGCCTTATGGAGGGATATTGCTTACAGCATGTTGCCAAGATGCCAACTCCCATATACTTCCATTGGCATTCTGCATTGTTGATTCTGAGAATAATGATTTGTACACATGGTTCTTTTCGAAATGAAGGAAGCACTGACTGTCCGGGAAGGTTTATGCATTGTCTCTGATGGGCATGAAAGTAGAAAACATGCACTTGCAAAGGTATACTTCTGACATCTTAGATATATATATATATATATATATATATATATATATATATATATGCGTAAAATATACAGTAAGTAAAAAAACTCATACAGTTCTAATATTTCTCTTAATTATTTAAATACATTTCGGTTATAATGCAGGTATATCCAGAGGCTGCACATAATCACTCTGCATGAAGCTTAACCATCAAACGCAAGCCACGTGTATAGTGACTCATCAAGGAGTCATGATAATTTTTTCACTTTCTACACAAAAATATAAACACACAAGAAACACGAGAAAAACGTGCAAGCTTAATAAAAGCAAACATTGATTCCATCTCAATTTCGTTTGTTCATCTTAATTACATTTTGTATTTATCATAGTCCCGCATTGTTGATTTCTAACAGAGTAATCTATTAATTATATATTTATAAATTTTTACCTATATAAGTAAACTATTAATCTTTTCCATATAAAAAATAAATACATTTATTGAATTTATATCTATATTATTATAAATGAGTTAGCATACTAATATATTGGTTAACTTATATCTTAGCCTCTAACGAGATCAGGTTTAACAATTTTTTTTTTTTTTTTTAAAAAAAACACGGATTAAAATGGGTAAAAAAAATTGTATGATTCAACCCTATTACTTTTAGGGCGATGGATAGGTGTCTATTGGACTTATCCTCTAACATTGAAAAAATTGTATCTGTACACAACTTTTTTACAATTATTGCAACATTACGAAGGGTTATATCTTTGTTTCAAACTTACCAAATGCGAGACACTTATTTGTGATAATGCGAAGATACGGTTTTTTTTTTTAAAAAAAAAAAAGATCACATCTCCTTAAATGGCGGGATTACTATTTTTCCGTTTTCACTTAAAAAGAAAAGTCAAAATATATGGTTAGTGTATATATCCTAATATCTAGGATATTGTTCAATTCAAAATTAAATAGTATAAATTTTGAAGCTACACGATCAGCTATGCTCTGTATATGTTCTATATACAATTTAGAAACATCACATACTGCATTGAAAAAACTGCAGAATTGCAGTCGATATACTGTAAGTATATCATTCACGCACACATACATAACATAGTCGTGTTATATACTTAATATGTACGTGTATAAATTTTTTTTTCAGTACATGTTATATACATCACGTATATGTTGTGTTTTTTTTTTTTTTACATAACTTTTACCAACTCAAATGCCCTATTTAGCATGTAGATCTAAACCAACAATCAGTCAGTATATTTTCAGCATATATTTGTCGTTTTTTTATTTACATAACTTTGTAGATCTAGAACAACAATCAATCAGTATATTTTTCTGTATATATGTGTCGTTTTTTATTTACATAACTTTTACCAACTGTTGAAAAAAAAAAGTATGTCTGTAAAAAAAAAATTGTATATGGAACATCAAATAAACATTGAAACAAAATCATATCGAATGTATCTGTAAAATTTTCTTATATACAAAACTTAAAATGTCTATATAGTGAACATATACAGAATATAAACAATATATATACGAAAATTATACAATATATATACCTGCAACTATGCAAACAACAAAAATAAAGTATAAATATACTACATATATACAACATATATACTGTCTGGTCTAGTCTTCCGCTCAACTAAAACCTAACCACAAAATCCACTTGACGGCCTGTGATCAGAAGCGACAATTGACCCGAATCTTGCATCTTCTCACCGATGATACAATCGTTGGTGACGTCGGAACAA